TCACTTGCAATCAGGGAAATGCAAATCAAAACTACAATGAGATCCATCTCACACCAGTTAGCGTGGCACATATTAAAAAAAACTAGCAACAACAAATGTTGGTGCAGTTGTGGAGAAAAAAGAACTCTCCTGCACTGCTGGTGGGAGTTCAAACTGGTCCAGCCACTATGGAGAGCTGTGTGGAGATTTCTTACTAAATATAGAGCTTCCATATGATCCAGCAATTCCCTCCTAGGTATTTGCACAGTGGACACAGAAACATTAATTCCAAGAGCACCTGTACCCCTATGTTTATAGCAGCACTTTTTACAATAGCTAAGCTTTGGAAACAACCCAAAAGCCCCAAAATAGATGACTGGATCAGGAGATGACTTTTGACAAAAGATTAATTCTGTCCTTATAAATTTGTATTTGAAAGCATTTTATTGTCAATTTTTCTGATTATGAGGTGGGTATTAGATCTTTTTAAAGATTTGGTAGAATTTACATGTGAAGCCATCTGACTTGGATTTTTTTGTTAGTTTTTTTTTTTTTTTAAGTCTTTGATGACTATTTCGTAGCTTGTAATTGGCCTACTCAGGTTTTGTGTTTCTTCATGTCTCAGATGGTTGTGTCCTTCTAGTAATTATTTTCTCTTATCCAACTTATTCATATAAAAATGCTCATAGTCTCTTATGACCTTTGGTATTTCAAATAACTTTCATTTTTGATTTTGCTTATTAGTTTTATATCTTTTTTTTCCTTAGCAAATCTTGTCTTAAGTTTATGGTGAATCAATTTTTTTAAAGGAATCAACTCTTAATTTTAATGACCTTTTGTATTATTTCCTTAATTTCTATTTCACTTCTTTCTGTTTGAAGTTTTACTCTTTCCTTTGTTCTGATGAATTTTGGTTTCATTGTTCTTCTAGTTGCTTTCTGTGTAAGGTTTGTCTAACTGACGTATGTTTCTAAGGTTTCCTCCTGTTACCAAAGACCCTGTAGATTCTTATAGCTGTGTCTTTGTATTTGTTTATTTCCAAGTATTTTTGAAAGATTTATTTATTTTATGCATAGAACTGGGGTGCAGGTCAGGTGCGGGGGGTGAGAGGATTCAGCAGAGACAGAATGGGGAGCAGAACAGGCAGATTGACTGAAGTACACTGCTGAGAGAGCAGTGGGTGAGATGAGAGGTCTGCTGGGCCATATGGGTAGCTCCCTGGCAGGGCAGGATACCGAATTTGTGCTGTAGTGGTCATGGATAGCTTCACAGTGTTGTGCTTAACCCCTTGCATCACCAAGGAGGCATGTTGCCAAGCATTTTTTATTTCTCCGTGGATAGACTTATTGACCCATTGGCTTCATCAGAAGTATGCTTTTAGTCTTCACATAGTTGGGGTTTTTCCAGCTTTGTTTTAGTGGTTTTCTAGTTTTATATCATTGCAAATGATGAAAATTGCTCAAACTGTTTCAATCTTCATTAGTTTCTGGCCTCGCAACGTAAGGTTTTGTGTCCCAACATAAAACCAGTTGTTGTTTCCCAACCTTTTACTTTGAGCTGATGTTTGTCTTTAGAAAAAACTGGATTTCCTGCAGACTGAGGAAGTTGAGTTTTGTTTTTTTACTCTACCCAGTCACTCTGTGCCTTTTGAGTTGATGAATTCCAACCAATACATTTTAAGGTAACTATTGATGCAAGTACTTAATCACCATTTATTATTTTTTGTGCCTTTTTGTTATTCATCTCTGTTCTTTAGTTCTCCTGATTGTTACTTTTCTTATTTATCTTTGGGATTACATTTTAATTTTGTTTCTTCGATGCATTTTATTTTTTTTTTTTGAGAATACCATGAGCTTTGCCTAGAAGATAAAGCTTCTAACCTGTTTAAAATTGACAGCAAGAAAACCTTGGCCTATTTGGTTCAATAATAGTGCACGTTTTTGCGCTCCATCATCCCACATTTTTGTTTTTGATGTTGCAGTACTTCTAAGTGGCTGGTGTCTGCTAGTGTTTATTCTGTATACAACTCTTTGAACTTCCTGTGTCTGGAAGTCTTTCCCTCCCCAAGTTAGGGAACATTTCAGATATTCTTTCTTCAAATCAGATCCATGTACCTTCCCCTCTCCCTCCTCCCAAGAATGTGAATGTTGTCTTTATGTTATCCCATAACTCTCTAAGCTATCTTAAATTTAAAAAATACTTTTTTCCGGCTGTTGTTCTGATTAGGTGTCTTTCGCTACCTTATCTTCTAGGTGACTGATAATGCACTGCTGCTTCATCTAATCTTGTGTTGTACTACTCTGTTGTAATTTTTATATCAGGCATTATATCTATAATTTCTGTTTGGAGCTTTCTCATATGTTCTTGTGTTGTGTTTCCCCATTTTGTTCATCTTGTTGGAATGGCATTCTCATTCTGGCCTAACTGTCATTGAGGCCTGCTGTTTCTTCAGGGAGTTTACTTAATTCTGGTGCATTAAGATTTTTTCCTGGGATTCTGTCTTGATCCACCCAATGGCATATATTCCTCTCTCTTCTATATTATTTGGCACTCTGTGTTTATTTCTGTGGGTTAGGTGTGACAGCTTTTTTTCCTGGTCCTTGAGCATTGATGTGGTAGAATTGAAGGTTGAGGTTGCATGGGATCGTACCAAGGTGTTTTGTCCAAGATGCTGGGCTTTCTTTAAGTATAGGCTAAAGTCTGTTAACAGCCAGGATGGATACTTGCTCAAGAACCAGCACTGGGTAAAACACCCTGTGAAACATACGTGTGTGTATAATTCCTTTCCTTGGTTTGAGAAGTTCTCAGCCACAGTTGTTTAAAAATTGCTTTTCCCTATATATTTCCTTTTTTTCCTCTGGTATCCTAATTCTCTGATTTTATAGTTTTCCTTTGTTTATTTTAAACCTTTTTTCTCTCTTCTTTACCAGTGGAATTATATTTTGTTTTCTGTCCCCCAAGTTGCAAAGTCTTTGCCTCAACTGAATGCCCCATTAAATATGGCCCCTAATGTAGTCTTCATTTAATATATTCTTCCTCTGATTACTGAGTTCTTCAACTTCAGAATTTGTTTGGTCCTTTTAAATATCCCAAACTTTAATTACAATTGCCCTTTGCTTATTATTCCTTTACTTGCTTGAATTGCTTTTTTGAGTTTTATATAGCTCAATTAATTTTTCATAAAGTTATTAGGAACACTTTATCATTGAACTCATTTAAATAAAATATTATGTGCCTATGAGTTGATGTGCTGCAAAAAATATTTTATGACTACCACTACCAATTTCCATATTTTTATTTTTTATAGTTTTTTTTACTTTCGTATATTTTGACATCATTCATTTTT